TATCCAGACATTGAAGGATGAGTAGGATTTAATAGGAAACTGGCTTACATAGGGAAAGGGCAAACAGTAAGGAGAGGACAAGTTAAGAGACTTTTTAGTTGCAAAGTATTATTACAAAAAGAAGCAAATCTTTACAAGACATGAACGATCTGACTTTGATCACTGATTAGGTAAAAGGACAAGAGTTATTAGATATAATAAGCACATGGCCAGAGAGAGGTATAGAGGTATGTAGATATCAGTAGTTTTTGAGTAGAGCAGGGCCAAAAAGATAAGCCTTTGGGAGAATTTTATAGTATGCTTTGTACCTTTGTTGGAGTTCTATCTAATTTTGATCCTAAGGTCATTGGTCTTATATAGGTTGCTTTGATCTTTCTTTGTCTTTTTTTTCTAGTCTTAAGACATATAGTCTTTGTCATTTTTTCGTACTTCCTAAGGCATCTCATTACCCTGTATTATTTCATTAGTTCCCTGAGTATCTCCAGCCACTCTTTTATTTATCATCTTCCCTTCTGTCTTCCAATTTACTTGGGTTATTCATATCTTACACTTTTATTTAAACCTGTATTTCTTACTTTAGTAACATGTTTCTAATTTCATTGTTAAGTAGTTCAAATGAGTGCTTTACGTTAAATTATCTCATTTTTTTCACCATCTATTTCATCTGAACTTACTTTCACAGTGATATATTAAATTTTTTTTTCAAATACATTTGTCTCCATTTTCCCACCACTACTTTCCCCTGCCCCACCCACCCCCACCTCCTACCCTCAATTCTCCCCGACTTTGGCTTTGTCCATGGGTCCTTTATACATGTTCTTTGATTTGACCCTTCCCTTCTTTTCCCAGTTACCCGCTCCCTCCTTCCCTCTCTTTACTGTCGGTTTCTTTTTTCCTTCAGTGTTGCTGGTTATATTTTTCTTGCTTGTTTGTTTGTTGATTAGGTTCCACTTATAGGTAAGATCATATGATATTTGTCTTTCACTGCCTGGCTTATTTCACTTAGCATAATGCTCTCCAGTTCTGTCCATGCTGTCGTGAAGGGTAGTAGCTTGCTCGCTTTCTTTCTTTCTTTCTGCTCGTTAGTATTCCATTGTGTAAATGTACCATAGCTTTTTTATCCACTCATTTAGTGATGGGAACTTAGGTTGCTTCCAGCATTTGGCTATTATAAATTGTGCTCCTATGAACATTGGGGTGCATAGGTTCTTTTGAATTGGTGTTTTGGGATTCTTAGGATATAATCCCAGCAGTAGAATCGCTGAGTTAAAAGGCAGTTCCATTTTTAGCTTTTTGAGGAAATTCCAAACTCTTTTCCACAGTGGCTGCACCAATCTGCATTCCCACCAACAGTGTACTAGGGTTCCCTTTTCTCCACAGCCTCGCCAGCACATATTATTTGTTGATTTGTTTATGATGGCCATTCTGACTGGTGTGAAGTGGTATCTCATTGTGGTTTTAATTTGCATTTCTCTGATGGCTAGTGATGATGAGCATCCTTTCATACATTCTGGGCCCTGTTTATGTCCTCTTTGGAGAAGTGTCTGTTCAGGTCCTTCACCCATTTTTTAATTGGATTGTTTGTGTTCCTGGAGGGGAGTTGTGTGAGTTCTTTATATATTTTGGAGATCACACCCCAGTCCAAGGTATCATTGGCAAATACATTTTCCCATACGGTTGGTTCCCTTTTCATTTTACTGATGGTTTCTTTAGCCATGCAGAAGCTTCTTATTTTGATGAAGTCCCATTTGTTTATTCTTTACTTTATGTCCCTTGCTCTAGGGGACATATCGGTGAAAATATTGCTGCATGGGATATCTGAGAGTTTCCTGCCTATGTTCTCCTCTTGGACTTTTATGGTATCATGACTTACATTTAAGTCTTTTATCCATCTTGAGTTTATTTTTGTATATGGTGTAAGTTGGTGGTTGAATTTCAATTTTTTGCATGTAGCTGTCCAGCTCTCCTAACACCATTTGTTGAAGAGGCTGTTTTTACTCCATTTTATGCTTCTGCCCACTTTGTTGAATAGTAATTGACCATAGAGACATGGGTTTATTTCTGGGCTCTCTATTCTGTTTCATTGACCTATGTGCCTGTTGTTATGCCAGTACCAGACTGTTTTTGATTAGAGTGGCCTTGTAATATAGCTTGATGTGAGGTATTGACATCCCCCCTACTTTGTTCTTCTCAAAATTGCTGTGGCTGTTTGGGGTCATTTATGGTTCCATACAAATTTTTTAACTGTTTGTTCTATATCTGTGAAATACTTCATTGGTATTTTAATAGGGATAAAGCTGATTAAAGGTAAATTAAACTTCATTTAGACTTAGTTTGTGATCAATGTCTGGAGTAGCCCTGGTTGGGTAGCTCAGTTGGTTAGAGCATTGTCACAATACGCCAAGGTTGGGGGTTCGATTCTCTGGTCAGGGCTCATACATGAAACAACTAAGGAATGCATAAATAAGTGGAACAACAAATTGATTCCCCCCCCATCTCCTCTCCCTTCCTTGCTCTCTCTAAAAATCAATTAAAAAATTTTAAAAAACTATTATTGTCGTTCAGTTACAGCTGCCCTGCCCTTTTCCCCATTGCTCACCACTGCCTCGTCCCACCCCACACCTACAGTCCATGCCCCCCATCGTCCATGCCATGAATCCTCTATTTGTGTTCTTTGCTTGTCCCTTCCCTTTCTGTCCCCCATTATCCCATTGCTCCCAACCCTCTGCTCACTCTCAATTTGTTCTTTATTTCCAGGTCTCTAGGTCTGTTTTGCTCATTTGTTTGTTTTGTTGATTAGGTTCCACCTGTATGTGAGATCATATGGTATTTGTCTTTCACTGGCTTGACTTACTTCATTTAGCATAGTGCTTTCCAGTTTCATCTGTGCTGTCATGAAGGGTAGGAGTTCCTTCTTTCTTTCTGCTGTGTAGTCCATTGTGTAAATGTACCACAGTTTTTTGATCCACTTTACTGATGGGAACTTAGGCTGTTTCTAGCACTTAGGTATTATATGTAATGCTGCTGTGAACATCGGGGAACATAGGTTCTTTTGAATTGGTGATTCAGTGTTCTTAGGGTTATAGTCCCAGCAGTGGGATTGTGGTATTAAAAGGCAGTTCCATCTTTAGTTTTTTGAAGAAATTCCATATTGTTTCCACAGTGGCTGTACCAATCTGCATTCCCGCTAGCAGTGTACTAAGGTTCCCTTTTCTGCCCAACCTCGCCTGCACTTGTTTGTTGATTTATTAATGATGCTTATTCTGACTGGCCTGAAGTAGTATCTCACTGTGGTTTTAATTTGCATCTCTCTAATGGCTAGTGGTGTTTAGCATTTTTTTGCATGTGTCTGTGGGCCCTCCATACATCCCTCCTCCTTAAAAAATGAATGTTTAGACTATATCTTGCTATCAGAAGATTGCCTTCATTCCCCTTTTCTGGCAGACAAAAACAATAAAATATAAAACCACTTTGTGGTGTCTGTATTTTAGTGAGTGATCCTTCATATAGTAGCCCCTTGCTGTTGTAGAGTCTGAGAATTGATTTTTAGCCTACTTGCCAGGTAATAATTATTTAGTTTCTTTCTGTTTAAAGAATACTGGCAGAAGACATGGGGTTCCTGGATCAGGGACAAAGGACTTAATTATTCAGTGCACAGGAAGCAGCATGAGTATCAGCATATTTAAATTATTTTTCCCTTGTTTCCATGTCCCATGGAAATGGTGCAGAGGGACCTAAATGAATGTTCTGCATATAGTGAGTTTGTGTTTGAGCTGATGAACACTGAGTTTGAAGATCCCTTTGTTTTCTTCATCAACAGTAAGCATACTTGCTCTTTGTTCCAGAGGAAGATGTTACCTCATTCCTCAAATTTGGTAACTACAAATTCAACCCTGAGACATGGCCTGAGTAATGACCATTAGTAGTCTAAGCCTTGCATTCTTGGCATATTCTGCAAGATGTGTAGGTGCACATGAGATGTGTAGGTGTCTCTCAAAAGCCAGAACACTGACCATCATCCATAATTTTTCTGTTGCCCACCCTATCTAATGATTTCTCAGTTTAAGCTCTTAAGTGACCACCACTCTAGACCAGATCATCATCATCTTGTCTGGATTATTGCTACTACTGCCTCCTGACAAATCTGTCTCCTGCTTCATTTTTGCTTACTCTTGCCCATTCCCCACACCCCCTGCCCCTGTCCCCAGTCCTAAAAGAGTCTTGCTAAAACAATTGGCTATCAAATAGAACCTTCAGTGGTTTACCACTGAAAGTTTAGAGACTCTTAACATGGTATAAAGGGGTCTGCATAATTTGGTTGAATCTCTTCTTTCACTATTTACCTTCTCTTCTTTGCACTCAAAGTAGCCATAGTAAACTTCTGGAATGTCCACTATCCAAGGACAGGATTCTGTTCTCTGTGAGTTGGTATCCCTATAGTGGAATTTCTTTTCCTACAATCTGTCCTGATGTTTTTGGTTAAATCCTCATTATTTTCGTCACGTACACTAAATTTTACCATCTTCAGTGCTTTTCTACAATCCATCAATTACTAGTGTATTTTACTACCCAGTTTTTAATGATTCATTATATTCTAAAATCTTACTGAACCAATGCTTACACTCATTTGATTGTTTCCTGTGTATGTTTTCTCTCAAACAAGATGAAAAATTTCTTTTGGTATGGTTAGCAGGACAGTTATTTTATACCTTTGACATTGCAACTTCTCTTTCTTTTGGGGTTCCAGATGAATTACACATATATTAGATTCTGTTTTATGGGCAGTGGTATTTCAGTTTTTTATTTAAAGAAATTATTGATAGAAATTCAAGTTTGAGTCACTGTGGAGGACTTTTAAAAGGAATGTTACTGATACAGTGTCACAGTAAACTAAGTACTTTTCAACAGTGGGTAGTTTTTTTCCCCCTCCCTGTAGATTGACAAGGCTAAATTCATTGGTCTATACTTAAACTACTTTTGTTTTTGCTGTACTTTCACAGGCATATACTAGTGTTTCTAAGGCTTCGCTTAGCCTTGCAGATCACAGAGAACTTGGAAAGATGATGAATACGATAATTTTTCATACAAAAATGGTGGATTCCTTGGTGGAAATGTTGGTGGAAACATCAGATCTCTCCATATTTTGGTATGTTGTAATTATCTTTGAACCAGAATTTGAGATTTTTAGTATCTAAAGGTATCTTTCTTGATTTCTTTCTTAATATAGTTTTTAAGACAGTTTAGTAATAATAAAAACATAAGAACAAAGGGAATAGTGGACAGCCTGATTACAAAAAGAATTTTACCAAGTTGGTATTTTATGTCTATTTTTAATTCTCTATTAAGAACAGCTCTTTCTAATGTGAATTTATTTTTTACACTTTTTTTTAAGAAGGTGAAAACAGTTACTTTGAATTGTGCTGAGGCCTTCCCTCATGCATCATTAGATTAAGAAAAAAAAATTGTGGATTAGGGTTAAATAAAGCAAGTGTTGCAAATTAAATACTAAGCATAATGCTTTCACTCTCTAGTATTAAGTTGGACATTAATATTATGATAAATGGTGACTGCTCCCTTCATTGTGCTCCATTCTCCTTTGCTTCTGCCATAACCTCTTTAGTTATACTTAGGAGTTTATAAGTTTTTGTCCCTGTCATTTGTCTCTCATTATGTGGTCTTAGGAGGAGTCACGTTTTATTTCCTTAGTATCTAACGTAGTGGGTATATAATAACATTTGAATGAATATATGAACTTGATTGTGAGTCCAGGATTCAAACTGAAGTATTCTGGCTCAAAGCTATACAATAGCAACTCAATTTCTGCTTCTTGGCCTTTTTTCCTTTCGGGGCTGATTGGGATAACCTAGTATGCCTTTTATTTCTAAAATGCTGATCTCATTGGATAATGATAGTATTTTCTATATATTGAATAGTTGTCATTATGAAAAGCTTTTCATTGCTTTTATTTTGGAAAATGACCCAGTTCATACTGATTTTGGCAGTTTGTTAGGGTGACTTTAATTAGCAGTATTGCAGAAGAAATCCATATCAGCAAGACAGAGAAGCATCAGGTGTCTCTTAAAGCAACTCATAAAACACAGTACATCACATGTGAAATGTACAAGAATTTTTAAGGTTGTTTGGGGCCGTATATTATTGTCTGTCCCAAAGGTGTCCTTGGAAAGAAAATGGAACGTTTTATGTTCACATATTTTTGAGCTACAGAAAGGTTCCTATTATAAAAGAAGGATACAGTAATTAGTAAGTTCTCTTTCCTTGAAAATGAAAGCAATTTGAGTAATGTTTATCTAATTTTCAGTCATATAATTAATTTTTATCTGTTTTCTCATAATCACTTTATTTTGTCACATTCAAAATAAAGATATCTTTACTGTTTGTCATATTATTCCAAAATGTACTATATTTTATCAACTCATATTCTTTTATAATTAACATGTCTTATATCTAGAAGTAATAAAATTGGTGGTGTCATTGTTTAATTGATGTTTCTCTTTCTTAGTGGTACATAAAATAATAGTGTTTATTACAATTAATGATGCCTTAATTTTGTTGAAATTTTTAAAAAGATTTTATTTTTTAGAGAGAAGGGAAGGGAGGGAGATAAAGAGGGAGAGAAACCTGGATGCGAGAGGAAAATCTATTGGTTACCTCTCACAGGGACCTGGCAGGAAATTGAACCCACTGGGAATTGAACTGGGAACCTTTTGGTTTGTGGGGCAATAACCAACCCACTGAGCCACATCAGTCCAGGACCTTTGTTGAAATTTGATGGTGTGAGATTTGAATGTCATACATTCATAAGCTATAGATATACTTCGTTTTCTGTTTTTAAAAAAATTTGTAATGTTATACAAATAATGTTATATATTGTATAATAATATTGTTATTACTCTGGAATGATTATTGGTGTGTGTAAGAGATACTCTTTGGAAAAATAACTATTCTCTTACAGGAATAATATTACCAGTTGGTGACTTTTATTTACTTGTATCAGATTAACTATAAGACACTATATCATGAAAATTTTACTTTAACTATAAAAAGTTATGATTCTGATTTTTATTATTGTTTTTTATGTAGTTTTTATAGTCGTGCTTTTGAGAAGATGTTTCAACAGTGTTTGGAGTTACCCTCTCAGTCAAGATACTCAATTGCGTTTCCACTACTTTGCACTCATTTTATGAGTTGCACACATGAACTGTGTCCAGAAGAGGTAATTTCTGAGTAGTACTCTGATTTATATGGTATGCAGAATAAACTAAACCAAACATATAGCTGACCAAATGTTCACAAAGTCTTAATTACCTAATCTAGCTTCCCATCTAATGCATCCCTATGTAGAATCAGAAGAATGCTTGAATATGTATTTGATATTAGATACAATAGATAGATATATTTGGATGGATGGATAAATATCAGAATATATCACAACGTCACTTTAAATCACCTTTATTAAAATAAGTGGTGAGTCAGGTATTATTTATGGTAAAGCTATATACAGTAACTGATTTTGCATACTTTTCCTCTTAAACTACCATTGAAAAGACTTGAAAATTGAATGTACAAATTAGTGACTAAACATAAACATACCAAAGAGGAATTTCACTGACTTGCCAATATAATCGATACAGTAAGTAGAATCTAGATTTGCTGGTATTTGGAAGACATACACACACACAGGCATGTAGGCACACAGTTACTGAATAAGTGAACTAATCAATGTTATTGCTACCAGCTGTCTATCCAAAAAGTACTCAGTATTCTAATCTTCAAGGAACAAATATCACTGGGTAAATGTGGTAAGAATATAGATGAAAATTAAATAGTGTATTTCTTTATAACTTAACTTAGTGTTGAGTCCATTAAAACTATAGAACTTAAAGAAAGAAACTTACAGATAGCAGTGGCACTATTGATATTTTTAAGCATTAGGGAACATCTGTTGCAGACAGTATTCCAGTATTCCATTGGAAGCAGACTCTGAGACAGAGATTAGCTTGTAGAAGTTTATTAGGAAGTGCATTTAGGATTAATGGCTGTGAGGATATTAACACCCAGTTTTAATAGATTTATAGAGTCTTTAGATTTAATAGATTTTTTTCCTCAAGCTTTATATACCTAAGATACACTATAATTTTTTTCCTCACCATAATCTTTCTCATTAAGTTACTATCAAGTCCAATTAATTTTATTTGTGTGGTGTCATTCCTTGAATCCATTCTCTACTCGCCATTGCTTCTTTCACTATGATAGCTCATATTTTCAATGTTCTTTATATGTATTCTTGAATAGTTTTCCTGCCTTTAAGTCTATATAGTACAATGCCACCAGAGTGCCTCTTCTTAAAGAATCCTTAGTGGTTCTGTATTACCAATGAAGAAAGTAAAAATTTCCTCAGCGAGGCATTTAAAGGTTTCAACAATTTGATCTTTACCCTATTTCTAAAAATTGTCCTTAAAAATTCTTGTGATTAAAAAATATATACATATCTAACATAAAATATGTGCCATTTTAATTATTTTCAAATGTACAGTTTAGTGGCATTAATTACCTTCATAGTGTTGTGCAACCATGGAGTTATATCCAAACTCCTCTCCCCTTCTACAAGCCACATCATCTTTTGCCTGGATTATTGTCATACTCTGCCAAGTGGTCCCTCTGTTTCTGCCATTGTCTTAAAGTCCCTTTTCAGCACTGCAGCTAAAGGTAGAAGGCAGATCATCAAGAGAATTGTGACATGTTAAGAAACCTTACTGATTTTGTTTTCCAGTCTCAGCATTTCTGAGCCATTGAAGAGAAATAGAGAAATCAGTTCTGTACTTTAAGTTAGTCTAGTAAATTTGAAGCAATGCTAGTTCAGTGTTCCTTTTTTCAGGATGAAGTGATAGCAAGAGAGAAATTTTATCTTTTAGGAGTCAGAATTTGCTTAAATAAACTCTTAACTATTTGTAATTTGAAATCTTCCCTTAAGTGAACCAATATTTAATTATATCTGGCCTGTTCACCCCCTTTAAGGTTTTAAAGGGCATTTTAAATAAAGTACATTATAAGATATTATGATAGATTGAGGAACAGTTATTTTGCACGTTTAAGCATTTTTATATTCTTCTATATTTTCTTGGATTTATTATAGCAGCACAAAAATGATGTATGTAATAATCTCTAATCCCCACTCCTTATTTTAGAATAGATTTTAACCTTATTTTCTATGTTTATTTAAACAGTGTTTTGTTTCAAACTACTTTTTTGTAACTATTATTATTAATTCTGCTTTAACAGCGACATCATATTGGCGATCGCAGTCTTTCCTTATGTAATATGTTCCTGGATGAAATGGCCAAACAAGCTAGAAATCTTATAACTGATATTTGCACAGAACAATGCACACTTAGTGACCAGGTAATAATTTAAATGTTTCCTTACAGTTAGGAAACTTGTGTATGAAGGCAAGAAAATTATGTTAGCCAGTTATTTATTTATTTATTTTTCCATTTCCCTAGATTTAGTAAATCTCATTACCTCTTGTTTTGAAGCTCCATTATTAGGTTATTTTAAAGAATATTGCCACTGTCTTTAGGATTACTTACAATGTAAAGTCCAACACTTATGTTGGCATTAAGTCCCTTACTCATAGTTCACACTTCTCTGTTCTAGCTGTACTTAGGCTTCATCACCTAGTAGTTTATATCTAAGAAACTAAATAGATTCTGAATGCATTATGTTATAACATAGTTTTGTTGTTCTTAGGCCTTTTTCCTCCCAGTGAAATGTTCTTGTTCTTTGCTTACGTATTCTGTTTTTACTTATCCTTTAATGTACAATGTTGATATAATGTCCTCTGTGAAGTGTTTCTTCACACAAGATTTACCCATTTCTTTATTCTACTAAGATTAGGCTCCCTAAGCTAGGTAAATGCTACTCTTTATTTATATCTCTGTTCTTAGTGCTAGCATGATATTTCCTGCATAGCCTGGATTCAGCTAAGGTTTACTTGAATAGTTAATGTGTTTTCAAAGTAATTGGTGTAATGTTAGATTTTATTCTTTTTAAATTTAGTTGCTGCCCAAGCATTGTGCCAAAACCATTAGTCAAGCAGTGAATAAGAAGTCAAAAAAACAAACTGGTAAGAAAGGAGAACCTGAAAGGGAAAAGCCAGGAGTTGAGAGCATGAGGAAAAACAGGCTGGTAGTGACCAAGTAAGCCACCCACTTTTATTATATATCTTATTGCTACAGGTTTTTTTCATTTCTTAGATAGCATTACTACTGAGGAAATGCTAATAACCCTAAATTCTCCATTTCCCCCCCTCCCTTTTTTTTTTTATTTACCTTTGTGAACTTAAACATTTATTCAGTGCTTATTTCATCTCAAAATACAGATTTTGGATTTTTGAAAAAAAATAGATGTAATAGATCATATTGTCTTTATATACAGAATACAGAAGGCAAGGAATCTGTCTAAAAACTTAGGGGTATAATATAAGAAATCTTTCATTTTCAATTTATTTGAAATCAGATATCTGAAACTTTATTTTGGCATGTTGTTATGAATAGCTGATAACATTATTTTAAAATGGGTATAACAGAATAGTTAGCATATAGAGCTGTTTGTTTACTTGGAGGGAAGGCATAGGTGAACAATAATGGGTGAATATTTTCTTGTTTAAACCAATTTTCTACCTCCTTGCTTCATACATTGAGCAATTATTTGCCATTTTGTAGACAACTTTTTTTCTCCACAGCAGAAAGGACAACAGGAGTAGGAAATAATTGTCTTTATGACTGTGGAATAAGCTTTTTCTTGTGTTATAAGTCAATATAGTCATTGTCATCTGTAGACAGAAACGAATGATGCTTATCGTTGGAAAAATGCTGTCACATGTTAAGGCAATAGCCGTAGATTTTGAACTTTGTTATTTTAGGAGAGAAGTTGAATTCTGTAATTATTATCCCCAAGTAAGATATTAATTTTATAAATATTGTATTGCTATTACGAAATGTTTAACATTTTGTTTACTGTTTATTACTATTTTTTCAGCCTTGATAAATTGCATACGGCACTTTCTGAGCTGTGCTTCTCTATAAATTATGTACCAAACATGGTGGTTTGGGAACATACCTTTACTCCACGAGAATATTTGACTTCTCATCTGGAAATCCGCTTTACTAAGTAAGAAAGTTTGTTACATATATTCTTCATATTTATACAATTATATCCTGTTATGTGGAAAGGCATTAGTAGAATTGGTGTAACATAACGAATAATGAACTGGGAGGTATGAAAATAGCGAACTGGGAATTATTTAAATTACTCAGATTCTTGTCCCATACTTGTTAACTATTTTTACATGGGCCAAGCCAATTAATTTCAGTGAACCTTAGCTTCCCTTTTAAGAAAAATGAGAAAATTGGAGCAAATCAATGTATTTCAACTGGCAAGTGGCAGTCCAGTTGGGTAATGAAATCAGATTAGAAGGTTGCAATAAACATATAAAGAAAGGAAGAAGAGGGAGGGAAGGAAAGGAAAGAAAGAAGTAAGAAATTAGTGCATTGAATGTAGTAAGTATTGCTTCATGCCAACTTTAGTTATATATAGATATATATACACACACACGCGCGCGGATGTACTGAGTTGTAATGCTAGATACACATCTTAGAGGGGGTCACATTTAAATGTTCGAAAACCTCAGGACTAGATGAAATAACTCAAGTCTTTTCTGGATTCAAATGTATGCCGTTATGCCAGTAGAATTCTAGACTCTTGAGGCATTCAGTTCTATTTAGAGTTTTATAAGTTATCTATAATGTTCCTTGAAATTATATTGCATGTGTTCAGAAGTCAGAAACTCTCAGCTTTATAGATGTTTCTTAATCTGTTCTCTAAAGTTACACACTCATTAAAGAAAATACTGATTTGATTGTGGAGGGGATAAGGGTAGATGAAGGTAGAAGAGGATATGGGGGGATAATTGGTAATGAAAAAAATATAATAAAAAATGAAATATTAAAAAAACACTGATTTGAAAAGTTTATCTTAAGGACCTTAAAGCAACTTAACAAAACAATATTTGCCAAAGATTTTTCAAAGTTTTGTAGTCATTAACAAGTAGTATTTGTACTATATGCTTAACATTGTGTTAAGTGCTATGATTAATAATGAAATGATACAAAACTTCGAGCTGTAGTTGGTGAGAAGACTTCAACAATTAGAGAATAAAATGGGAGACTATATAATTGGGTACTAAACTGAGTGTTAAGTCATCAGCTGACTAGAGAAGGGTCTGGTGTTGAACAAAGACTGTCTGTAGCTGTCTTTTAGTAAGGCAGTCATCCTGACAGTAAAACTCAGGTGCTCTAGTATTTAAACCACAGGGACATTATGCCCTCTGGTATTTATTATTCTCAATTAGGTGGGGTTGGTAAATAGGTGGGTGGAAGGTAGGATTCAATTTAGAGCTCCAGTGTTTTTTTTCTGTAAATAATGTAGTCTGGTCCATTAATCCACAGAGAAGCAGATAACTCTTTTTACTAAACATCTCTCTCATTAGTGATCAGGATCAAGCCAAGGCTGTAAACTTGTTTACCTGGGAAAGGTCTTTATGCTGCCACATATAGCTTGTATTAGTTGGTTGATTTTAGTTGATTACTTGAGCACAATGTTAGGACTTAGAGGCTATATACAAGGATAACATTTTTGTCTTAAATTGGTCGTCTTGGACTGTTTCTACTGATAAGGTTTGTCTGTTTTTTAAGGATTTGTCCTTAACAAACACAGATTAAGAGCTTTGCAAATCTAATATTTAGTGACTGTTTTATGAAAATAGAGGTGGCCAGTGTAGGAAACAATTATGTAGGAAAGTATTTTCAAAATTTGTGTTTCTTTTTAGGCTTATGCAGTTTCTTGGGATATAAACTAAATAGAACTGTTTCATGTGTTATAAGTGATTTATAGAACAATTAAGTTTTCTTTTTGTTGTCTTGTTTTGACTGTAGTGCATTTTGTTGAGAGGCAGCACTAAGCTAGGCAGAAGTGTTGCCAAACCCTGCACCCACCAATTCTAAACAAAGTGACCTTGATCAGTTTACTTGAGGTCTGAGTCTTAGTTTTTTTCATATGTGAAATGGTGGTATAATGACAACTATATAGTCGGGTTACTAAATATGAGAACTACAGGTGATACATAAAAAGCATTGAAAACTACTGGCACATAACAGTGCCAAATAAATTCAAGCTATGGCTTAAATAGTCCATTGTACTTGCTACAGTGTATTACATCGAAAGATTTTATTGTCAAATCACTTTTATTACTGATGTCTTTGTAATTTTTTAAATCACTTTCAATCAATTCCCATTTCATAGTAGCTTTTAGGTGGTCATTCTTTTTAGGTTGTTTCTTTGGAAGATAATGATAGTAATTTCATGCCTTTGTAACAAATTGCATTTAAAATTAATTTTATTGCTTATTTAATATTAAAGATTAGTAGGTTGAGTGGCCTACTTATATACATGCAAAAGTCAGAACTCTCATTCCTTTTTTGCCTTAGGTCAATTGTTGGAATGACTATGTATAATCAAGCCACACAAGAAATTGCAAAACCGTCAGAACTTCTAACAAGTGTAAGAGCATACATGACTGTGCTTCAGTCAATAGAAAACTATGTGCAAATTGATATTACAAGAGTATTTAATAATGTTCTTCTTCAACAAACACAACATTTAGACAGTCATGGAGAGCCAACCATTACAAGTCTATACACAAACTGGTAAGGAACACATTTAGAAATTTGGAGTGATACAAAGTTTCTTTGTAATGAACTTCTTGGGAAAGTTACTTTTTTATGGATAAATGCTCATTCATGTTGTCAGTTAACTTAAAATTATATGCAAGAATATGTACCATAATATTTTGGATTAAACCGTTTCTTCCAGTTATAAATTTACTTTTCTTCTTAGGTATTTGGAAACTTTGTTAAGACAAGTCAGCAATGGTCATATAGCTTATTTCCCTGCAATGAAAGCATTTGTGAACTTACCTACAGAAAATGAATTAACATTCAATGCAGAGGAATATTCTGACATATCAGGTGAATAATTCTATGCAATGTTTTAGAGAAGAAACCTTGATTTTTTTTTTGGCTTATGATTTTATTATGACTTATTCAATTATATGAATAAGTATACATTATATCTTTACATTTGTGTGACTTTTTTTACTCTAGAGACTTCTCAAGATTTTTACATTAATAATTGACTTCTGTAATATAATGTTTCAATATGTTAATATTCTTAAAGTATTTGCTCTGGCAAAGTATAAAATAAATTACATTTTCTTTCAGAAATGAGGTCCTTATCAGAACTGCTAGGCCCATATGGAATGAAGTTCCTAAGTGAAAGCCTTATGTGGCATATTTCATCACAAGTTGCTGAACTTAAGGTAATGTAGTAATTACTAATTTTAGCTTATAAACATGAATTCCTAAAAAATTTCAAGAAAATGAGCAGCAAGCCTAGAACATTAAATACTTTAACGTGACATGAAAGTTCTCATATGTAAATGAAATTATAGCACTAGCATGGCCTTTTTATTTTATTGTGTTGTATTTTTTCATTACCATTTATCCCTCCTATACCCTCTTCCACTCCCACCCACCCCCTTCCCCACTGCAATCACCACCACATTGTTGTCTGTGTCCATTAAGCATGATCTTTTAATAGCATCTTTGTCTTGTTCTGTTCTACAAAAAGTAACCTTATTTACTGAAAATCAAGCAAATGTATAGGATAAGCCAATTCCTAAAAGGTAAATAATACTTTGCCTAGTGAAAAAAATAGATGGCAAGAGTCAGAGTGATTAAAGGGAGAGAAAGGATTACCCAGTGGTTAAGAACTCAAGGTTTCAAGTCAGGCTGTCCTGAAATTCAGTCCTGTCAGTTATCATCGTTGACTTTGGGCAATATTTGAACTCACTGTGCTTTTGCTTTGAGAGAATTGTATGAGCTAATTAATACATGCCAAATGTTTGAGTACTCAGCGTAGTGCCTGTCACACAGTAAGTATTGAGTAAGTATTATTTTGGTATTTATCATGTCATTATTCTCTCATTGTTCTTTTTTAAAAGACTTTCACAATCCTTACGCAGAATTCAACTTTTAGATACTTCATAATGTTAAGTTTTAAATACACAAACTTTATACTTAATGTAGTTTAAGTGCACAAACATTGCAGTGCTAGTTTTGGTTCTTTACAAGCAATATCTTTTTATTTATTAAACTCATTCCCCTGTAAATACATTATTTCTTTTCTGCGCTGTTGTCCTCAGGTAAAAAATTTCTCATTTTCAGTTTACTTTCTTGTGTTGCTTTTGGTATGAGATAATAGAAGAATTGTGGCCCAGTAATTTTACTTTTGTCAATTATTTTTTATTTCAACTGAATAAATAGGGACTTCTAAAATTGTTAGCACTTTTAGTGCTTCTTTGCCATTTAATATGGTCACTTGAGTACTGCCATGTAGTAATGAAAATTAGCCAATTTGGATTTCTCTGTATTCATATCTATGAGAGTTTAAAGTGTCTCATGCCCTTAACATATACTGCGAAGGCCTCTCTAGGATCTGGCCTTTTGCTTTTCCTCACCTGCTTCTCCAGCCTGGTTGGCACACTTGTTGTGTCACCTCAGATAATCTTCATGGAGACATTAGATTGCCTTCTCATAACATTCATGGATTTTTCATGTCCTATCGGAATATTCTTCCTTGTCCACACTTTTAAAAATAGCAAGCATCACTTTTTCTAACCTTTTTACGTATATAAATTCCTTTAAGTCATTGAAACTGGAATTGTCCCTATTTTACAAATTAGGAAAGTATGGTCAAGAAAGATTTAAGTAACTTGTACAGGCTCACATGCTTAATAAAGTGGTAAAACTAGAGTTTGAGCCTGTATTGTCTATCTAGCTCCAGTGCTTAATAGTATGGTGCTATACAGTTTTTAGAAATGAAAGGGTTCTAACAGTCATCTAATCCACCCTTACCTGTTGCAGGAACATACACTGCATTTTCCTAGGTGAATGATCTGGTCTTTTTGAAAATGAGGCAGTCTCATCTATGTTGGACTCAATATCTAAATAGAAACTTCTAATGGGTCCTTATTCTTATATCATTCAAGAAGCAGAGACTGCCTTTGACAAGATTACAGTTTACGTGTTTAAAACTTTTGTGGTGACACACACACGCATACAAACCCTTCCTCCCCTACTCACAGCGCATCCACAGCTTCAGATGTATACCAGTAGCACCACCTACCCGGCTGAGATGATGTGGGCCTGTCAGTCATCCAGTGTAAACTCCGTTGCCCACAGTTGTCTCTGAGGGAAGTTTATCCTCTGTCCTTTGTGACCATGCTGTACATACTGTACTTCAGGCAGCTCTCAGTTCTCTCCTGGCAAAATTGCAGGAGCTGGCCTTTTGTTTGTTTCTGGAGGTTTTGGTTGCACTATCCTGTATTCCAAAAGTATTCCCATCTCCAGAAAAGTGTAGAGAAACCCATTCCTTACTCAGACAAGCTCTGAGATGTTCTTATTTCCCCACCTTATAATGTTCCATTGCCAAAGAAGCCTATAGTCTGATCCCCTAAAAATATCGAGTATATCAGAGGTAATGAAAGCATCTCAACAACCTGCTTCACCACTCCGGTAACAAAGGGGAGACACTCCATCTTCAACAATAGCAAGCGATGCACTGTTGGTCCTAAGCCCTGCAGTTCAGGCTAAAAAATCTATAAAATCAATCATCCTCAGATTGGTAAAGGAAAACCCAAGCCTGTAACTTCAGAGTAAGCGTCCTCAACTTCTGTAAGGGAGCAACCCCCAAAAGAAGCAGCTTGCCTTGCACAAGAAAAGCAAGAACAAATTAAGCTTGAGTCTTCAACAGATGCTCTGAGCCAAACTGCTCGCATCACTCCATGGGCCATTGTAGCTCAGAATGCTGCAGTCCAGGCCATCAGTGCTCACTCCAACTTACTGAAAGCAGCCATGACAGTTCTGAGGTTGCAGGTGAGAAGGAATCAGCTTACCTAGTGCACAGTGGAGGGTGTTTTGAAGGAATGCAGAAAGGCAGTAGATGAGGCTGTCTATACCCTTCTCAAAGCCAAAGAAAAGTTAGAGAAGATGAAAACTGCAATTGAAAATGCAAAGGAAGAAGATTTTGCTACAGCCAAATATAAAATTGCTGCAGAGAGGAAACTTCACAACATTATAGTTGATCTGGATAATGTGGTCTAAAACATTGAACTAGCTCAGTCGGAACCAAAGTTTTTGTCTCAGTATCATGAGTGGGTGGTCCAAGCCCAGGATGACTTTAAGCAAGAACTGGGCAGTATTACTCCAGAAGTCTTGCCAGGGTGGAAAGGGATGACTGTTTCTGACTTAGCTGACAAGCTGTCTACCAATGATCTTGTTAGACATTGTCCATTATTTCTGGATGTTTGTTTTAAACATATTTTTAAAGATTTTATTATTTTTAGAGAGGGTAAGGGAGGGTGAAAGAGATGGAGAGAAACATTAATGTGTGGTTGCCTCTCAAGTGCTCCCTACTAGGGACCTGGTCCGTAACCCAGGCATGTGTACTGACTGGAAATTGAACTAGTGACCCTTTGATTCGTAGGCCATTGCTCAGTCCACTGAGCCACACCAGCCAGGGCTGTTTTAACATTCTTATATCTTGGAGTGATTGTATTTTCTTTCTCAGATATTATTAAAATTTAAATTTGATGTGATAATAGTATAATCTTCACTTTTAAAAATGTTATTGAATTTTCTGATTTAAGAATGTTGTTTCTTGACCAGATTCTTTTTCAAATATCTGATAATATTAAACGAATCCAGAACCTAGATGAAAGAAACTTTTTGTGTAAGAGTGTGATTCATTATCTTCAAGATACATGGTTGTGAATTAGCTTGGGTTTTTCATTAAATGTAATATGCTCCAAAACCAAGATGGTTTATGATACTAAAACATTTTTTTCCGCTAAAATCTTTGATTTTAGCAATCTTCTATGTGATTATCCTTATTTGACCTGAATTTTCATTACTTTTATAAAAACTTTCGAGTTTTACTAATGATTTAATGTTAGTTACAGTAAGACTTAAAAAAAAACGTGGAATTGTGTTTTAGTATTTAGGGGCTTCTTCATATGGCCAACCATAAATATGAAAGCTTTACATATCTAGCATTGTAACTCTGTCATTTACTTTTCTTCAAAAAAAAGCTAGTCGTAAAATTCAATTTTCTGGAATGGCACAGTGCTTTACAACGACATTCTTAGAGCTCCCTCTTTAACAACTTCAAGAAGTAATCCAGATTTCTCTGGATTCAACTACTGGTGTGTTATTAAAAACTGGAGGAGGTATTAGTCATGACTTTGTAGTCTCATCCTCTGTGTACTCTGAGACATACACTTCTATGGGTACTCATTTTATTACATAAGAAATCTTATGATGATACTGTAATGGTGTTTCATATAGACAATGTGTTGTATACTATTCTGCCTCATTGAATTAAATCTCCAGAAGTACTCAGTTTGTAATTGATAATTCCAGTTGTTTTACATTTTTCAGTGTTCTATAACACTGCTTTCTTTAGAATAGCCTAATATATGAAATTATAGAAACAAAAATAACATATAATGATTTGCTTTTAATATTGATAGGCTATTTAAACCACCTCATCTCCTAAGAACAATTTAAAAACCTTGACAGATATATAAAGAAAAAGAATGCTCTTTAAAGAGGAGCTAAAATGATGGTATTTCTAGGCCAGAATCAAGGAAAATGAAAAAACTCAGAGATATAAAACCTAGCACTGGAAAACACTTTTGACCTGAGGACACCTGCTGATCAAGAAGTAACATTTGTAACATTGATCTGTAATTTTGATGGGCTTGTCAGGTAAGAGGGTTTGTAAACAAAACCCAAAGCCTGCCCAAAGTGGGGAGTGGGAAGTCTGCTTAAATTCATTCCCCTTCACCCTTTTTACATAGATATCACAAAGGGTTAGACCTTCAGGGTATCAGTGAACTAGAAATGATTTACTCCTTCCCAAGATTTGCAGCCCTGTTGTGTTGCTCTTTTTCTAATGAATCTTGAGTCTAAAACCTGGATTAAGGTGGTCCTAGTTTAGTAGTATCCTAAGGTACTTGGCAGAAGCAATAAGAATTTTCTGTGGAGAAAGTATCTTCATCTTAGATTTCAAATGATATCTGCAAGTAGTTTTTCAAACACAGTGATCTCCAGCTGGAGAGTGGAAGTCCGTTGGAGATCATGAGAGGGTGGAGGTAGGAGATTTAATACATCTGGCTGGCTGATGTGATTGTCAAGTCATAGTCTCCTTTTCTCTCTGTCTATGTGTCTGTCACCACCCCGTCCACCCCTACCTTCTGTTCCTGGTATTCCTGAATTTAGAGTCCTCCTTGTTGACATTGCTTCACAGATGATGCTAAATTGTGTGTATAACAGCCCCCCATACAGACATGTAATAACCCTGTTGTTTTCAGCCTCAAGTCTTCCTTTGTATGCCACTGCCTACAATTCCTGAGACATTAGCTTGCCTTCAACATTTGTATAGAAGTTCCTTAAAGGACCTTGATGAACAAATTTCTCATCTCTACATATTCTTTGCTCATTTCCATTTCTAGGAGCGTGTTGGTATCTCTCATTTGCTTTTGTTTCCTCTGTTATTTCTTTTGTTATTGTAGGTTTATGCCTTTTTATTCTTTTCCTTAATTCTTGGAAGAAGCAAATTCTCATATTCTCTCTCTCTCTCTCTCTCTCTCTCTCTCTTCACAATTTAAAAACTAGAGAAAGATATAAAGAAAAAGAATGTTCTTTAAAAAAGAATATATAGCACTGGCTGGTGTAGCTCAGTGGATGGAGTGTTGGCCTTCAACCCAAAAGGTCGCTGGTTCAATTCCCAGTCAGGTCACATGCCTGGGTTGCAGGCCAGGTCCCCAGTTGGGGGTGTACAAGAGGCAACTGATGAATGTGTCTCTTGCACATTGATGTTTCTCTGCTTCTCTTCTCTTTCTCCCTCTCTTCTCTTCTCTCTAAAAATAATAAAAATGTTTAAAAATTATATATATAAAATACATACATTTTATATATGTATCTCTGTGTGTGTGTATGTGTGTCTGTAGAGAAGTAGAAATTCTGCACATTAACTAGCATGTCCAACCTAGTTTACATACTTATTTGAGCATTTCTATAGGAAAATATCTGAAAGTGGATCAAAGGATATGAACATTGAACTTTTTCTTAAAATTATCAGATATCCCTCTGAAGACATTGTAGCCCATACTGTCCACATTAGAGCATGATGATACCTCTAATAGCATTTTAGTCTTTTTGCAATTAGTACATAAAATGTTTGGGGGGTAATTAAAATGTTTTTAAAATCATTCTGTAATTTCTTAGCTTTTATTTTGTAAATTGATAAACTAAATATGTGCCTACATCTTTTTTATTTTAAGGATGACCTTAATTGTTTTCTGTGTTAGCTGAGACCCTTTTTATTTCAAATAGTAAAGTTGTGTGCCAATAAAAAAAAAGGAGAGTGTCTTTATGTTTAATGGTTGTGAATAAATCGTGTGTCAGACATAGTCAACACTGCATGTGTACTTGTGGTAAAACATGTTTATTACTTTCTGGAGAAGAAAACAACCAGTCTTCTTTCCTACTAAAATTCTTGGGGTGTTTCATTTGGAGTTATGCCTGTTGAGTCCTGCCAAAAGAATTGTTTTGGCATTTCACAGTTCAGTTCTTTAATTCTTTATGGAGTCCTAGATGCTTTTTATTTTATCTCAAATGGAATCAGAAATTGAAATATGAATTGTGTCAAGAACATTGTTGTTAACAGGAAACTTTTTTTTTTTAGTATCCTTGATTTGTTTCATATGATTTGTCTCAGTTCTAAACCATTTAGTTCATAATTCCTAGTATTGCTTCTAGCTTTTATTTCATTCATCAGTGATATTAATCAATGCCTTTAAATATATAGAAAATTTTGTTTCAGGATACAAGTGAGGGACAAAAGAAAAAAATATAAGCTATACTTTCAAGAGGAGACATAATTAACTTCTTTAAAAGAGTAATGTGCTAACAAATGCTTTAGGTTAATGGTTCTTAAAGAATTGTTCCCAAATCAATGGCAGTAGCAGCATTACCTTGGAATTTGTTTGAAAAAAAGGCAGTTTTTGGTTCTATCTCAGACCCACTAAATCAGAATATGTGGGGCTGGGATATAGCAATATGTATTTTAATTAATAAGTTCTTCAGGTCAGTCTAATGTACACTGAAGATTGGGAACCATTTATTTAGGGATTGAGGGGGGAAATTTTTAAATTGGACATACCTATATTCAGATTCCAAATTTTACTATACAGTATCCTTGCTACTTTGGGCAAGTTATCTAACTTCTCTGAGCCTTAGTCTCCTCCTCAGTTTCAAAGTTGGATCAGAGTAAATGGGATTGTTTGTAAATTGCCTAGTACAGGAACATAAAAATGATTACAGTATTCTCAATATTAAATATATACTATAATTATTGATTCTAAAACAATTATCCTATATTGATATTTCTGAAATTGTATGTGTATTATAGTCAGATGATTAGAAAATATTTCAGTTTAATTGATAGGAGTTTTTTTTCTTCGTGACACGTAAGATAGTGGTGCATTTAAATTCAGTGGTGTCTTTGAATCAGTGACATGTGATACTATGTTAAAGGTGCATGAGTACTGTCAGTATTGTATATGCAGTTTGCGCACATTTGGGTTAAATCAAGTTTTAGAATGGGATAAGTATTGAATTGGCCCAAGAGAGAGCAAGCAGTCTAAATAGAGTATAGAAGTTGATTTAGCAAATAAATGTGACTGAAGCTAAATATTTGGGAACATAAAGAAAAATAATCTGAAGTAATACCAAGTAACCTAAACCAAATTCATACTAGTATAGGAAAAATGATTTTTAAATGTTTAAAAATGTATAGTTTTTCATGCTGCCCTTAAAACACTTCTCATTAGCCTTTGGCTCATAACAAAACCATTATGGCACTTTAACAGTGTGCTTGCAATGTCTTTACACCCAGACCTGCAGAATTGAAATATGCAGGCATTAAGCCTGGATATGTATATTTAGAACTGCATGTGTCCAAATCCAGGCTTCATCCATGGGTATTTGAAATACATATACCCAGCCTTTCCAAATACATATATCTATTATTTTTCCCAGAATCAAATTAATTACATTTGTCTTAGTTATAATTTTAAACTATGTTACTTTTCTAGTGCTTCTTTTAAAAAAACCATTCTTTAATGAGTTACACTTTTCTTGAATAGTTTTCTTTCACTCTCTTCCCTTATTTATATCCCTTCCTTTTTTTAATTCTCTTTCCTTTCTCATTGGTTCCTGAAAAAGAAGGTAGATAGTTGACACTTCCATTTGATAATTTGTGTTAGAAAATACTGTTCTATTATAATCCACATGAAGGGGTACCATACCCAAACAAGTTATTCTTCTGATTGTATATCTCTAGCAGAACTCTAAGCTATCTTCAGCCAGCTTTAACTTCAGCAAGACTTTTTTGTTATTGAATTTATTGCTCTCTATTTCCACTTAAGTGTCTGCTTTTTATTATTGATGCTGCTCTGTGTATAAGGATAAGATACTCCTTTATCCTACTACTTATCTTTATTGCTTTTTTCCTGAACTCCTCTTCCTGAATTTGCAAACTGAGGAAAATATTTAGGCTAAGTAAATTTTAAGATTCCCTTATTAAAACAAAAGTATATAGCATAGAGCATCTGGATTTCATGAATTGTATTTCCTATATTCCAGGCTGTAGTTTCCAAGCATGCTCTTATCTCATTAACACAAGGAGGTCTGTGCCTGACCTAGGATTTTTCTTTTTCTTTTTTTCTTTTTAGAAACTTGTGGTGGAGAATGTTGATGTGCTAACACAAATGAGGACCAGCTTTGACAAACCAGACCAGATGGCTGCACTCTTTAAAAGATTATCATGTGGGTAACTTGTGATACTTTTGATAAGTATTAAGAAGACCAGAAGTGTTTAGCTTTGGTTCAAAATTTGTAAACATAAATATTGTAGTAAATTATGAGTAGTGCTCTAGCTTATAGAGAGAACTGACGTCATACTTCTTATTGATTCATTTAAAGGTCTTCCCAACATTAAAAAATTAGTGAAATTCCAAATAAAATTGTATTTGAGAAACCAGGTTTATTTTCCCAAATAAAAAATAATCCTTAAGGAATTTAAAGCCATTTTTGTTACATATTTTACTTTTGATATTTTTCTTTTAAATTTGTAAATGACAGTTTTACAAATCTGTCAAATTTTATAAAGCTGTAAAATGATTTAGAGGATCACTTTATTAGGCTATCTTTAAAAAAATAGAAACTTATTTTAATATACATTAGTATGAAATTATGCTACAATTTGCCTTGCAAACAGATCAGTGGTTGCCAGAACTATAAACAAAGCAATGAGGGAGTGTTGGGGGTTGATGAAACTGTTCCCCACAGTGGTAATGGTGATAATACAAATCTACACATGTTAATCTTTTTCCCTAGAGCTGTACACCAAAAGGGGAAAAAGGTTTGGCTTAACTGTATGATAGTTTGAAAAATGAAATTTAAAAAATGGAAAAGAAAAGAGTGACTTGGTAGCATTATAGGAAGGAGGAATGTGAAAAATATTTAGCAGGCAATTATTAAATATCTACCTGACCTCTTTGTTTATTGTTTTACTATATACTTATATTTTCTAGTCTTTTTTTGTTTATTCTTTACATTTTTTATATTTTTATGTTTCTTTTTTTTTTAATACTCATTTGACCACCCCACTAGCCTTAACCCTAGTCAATGTTCTACTAATAAATAGCATTTGATGATATCATCTGGTTAGAAGCAACTAAGCCAATGCACTGTTCAGTGCCTGTTTACTTTTATTTTAACTCTATTTGTGGAATTGAAACAAAACATAATTTGTTAAAATTACAAACAGAATTTGTAGGTTTTCAAAATAAAATTTATAATCCTTTATCTAGGTTCTGTTTACGTGAATTTTGTGTATAATAGTGGTGATTCATGACCTGTGGAATTGGCCAAAATCAAAAGATGAATTGTTGTCTTAATGGACGATATATATCATTTGTCTTTAAATAGAATTTATTAAATCTTTTTTTGTGATTTGAAAAAAATAATCTGCTCAAAAGTGGCTTATTTAGGGAACTAGAGAAAGCTAATCTTTCAGCTGAACCGTTTTTCAGAATGCTCTCTTTTGTCTCTGACCTCTCTCTACCTTTGTACTTCCTTCACCCCATATCCACAAGTTGATGTTCTTTAGAACAGTTTGATTTTCACAGTCAGCAAACACACTCTTTTAAATACCCTTAAAAGTAAAAAGCAATATTATTTATTAAAAGTAACTGACTTGGGAAGCAGTCTGGAATTAATTTTAAGTTTTAAGTTTTTTAACTATGTGACTTAAGCAAATTTAATAATGTCCCTTCTCCTTTTTGTTCTGACACTCTGTTCCTTGGGACTAGGTTTATTACTATACTGGTTCCCTTATTCCAGACTTACTTTCTAGTGTTCCTATAGTGATTTTTCTTTTTTAAAATTCACTCACTTTTTCCCTGACCTTGCCACCATCTACACACCTACAAGTTGCCTTGAAAGACCTTTATTTTAGCAATACTTTAGATGTTAGTATCACCTGAAACTGTTGCACTGGTAAAATTCTGAATTTGAAACTCCACTCTCAGACTGAAATCATGCCTTCCAGCTCTTCCACTCCTTCACGCCTATTAAAGGCTTGGTTCTAGCTCATGAAACTTTGATGTCTCTAGTTTTCTAATCAGCATCTTCCTGGCTCTACTTACTTAATCATTCTGGACTATAAAATTCGGTTAGCGATTTTAATTCTTTCTCATCTGCACTGTCATACTCTTGACTTTCTGCTACATTCATCATCCCAAATCAGTTTGGGGTCAATTTCCCTGACCTCAAAAGTGTTCTGCTCCTTGGAGGCCAGATACTGCTAGTGAAATGACACTTTTTACGTCTGTTATTAAATCTGCCTTATTCATCCTATTATTCTTCATACTGCTAAACTTTTTGACGAGCTTGTATTCATGGTTTTGTCTTCCCCATTCTCCACTTTCATTATACTGCAATATGACTAATTTCCCATTTGCAAATCTAATCCTCTTTCCTCTTATTCTGCTTGATTTCTCTGTTTCTCTCTTTTATTTTTCTCTATATTTATTTTTATTTTTTTAATTTGCCAGTACTTTCACCACTGCCTTTTTAAAAGTAATTTTTCTACAGTCCTTTTGGGAAAATGTATCCAGTTTTATTTATCAACGTGTCTTACGTAATCATCTTCAGCCTTGACTCTGTTGAGCTCCAGCTGTTTAACACCAAGTGCTAGTTTGACCAAGGGTTCTCAAAGTGTGGTTTGTTAACCAGAAGCAACAAGCAGCAGAATCACCTAGGAACTTGTTATGAATGTAAATGATAGCATCTCACCCCAGACATACTGCATCACTGCTGATTTGTACTAAAATTTGAGAAACATTCTTAGACATCTTCAGGTATATGGCCCATAGATATTTCACAACATCTCTGAAATGGGAAGGACCTTCCCCTCATGGGAGCTGTAAATGGGCAAGGAGAAAAAGCCTGATATTCTTTTATTACCTTTCTTGCCATCCACCTGGTGACTTGCACAAGAAAATTTAGGTAGCTTCCCTCATTCTTCCTATCATCACACTCCATATTTAATAGCTGTATCTTGCAGATCATAGTTTGTAAATAGGTGGGCCTTGTTTGGTCCTGTGCTGCATTAAATTGAGAAATATTGGTTATTTTTAAAATGGGATATTTTGCATAAAAATCCAAAACATCTGGCTTCCCTGCAAATAAACCTGGGCAGTATTTCCCCACATGGCAGTGATTAGCTTGGAACTAAGTTGCAGTTACTGCCCTTAGAATTTTTTCTCCAGTCTTTCGTACTCACTATTCTATCTTTTACCTTGCCTACCTCACTGTTTTATTACCTGCTGTAGTGTTTGCACTTTTAACTCCTACTTCATCCCACTCTTAAATCCCAAACCAATTCTGTGGTTCTTGTTTAAGGCTTTGTCATCGTTTTGTGAACTACAGTCAGGGCTTCTTAACATGCAGTCTTCCCTTTTTAACCTACCTCCAACATTTAGAGTCATATTTTTAAACATGATTCTCTTCATATTATTCTTTATATTTTTGAAAATCCCGAATAACCCACTTACTGCTTGAAGGATAGTCTAAATCTACTTAGCTTGGTGTTCAAAAACCATTATTTGGGTAAACTTCACATCCAACCCTTTTCCCTTCTGTCTCCCACTACCTTTCGCTTGCCTGGCCAAAGACCCACAAAGCCACTGCTCTAGTATTACCATATTTCGCTGTGTATCATGAGCACTTTTGTGCCCAATTTTTGAGAGAAAAATAAGGATGCATGTGTATATTAGTACTATACACATGCATAGTACTAATTCCATAGCTATGTAAATGTTATTAATTCTTTTATTTATGCTTATGCATTAAAAGTGTAACTCTAGAAAGCAATAATGATATCTGTATGCAAAATAATGCCCTGGAATATAATAATCGGTTTTGTTTCTAAATATAAGTAAATAAAAAATTGAATTAAAAAGTTAAAATGAAAGATTTTCTTTCCTGAAAAGTGTGCGCCAAAAGCATGGGTGCTCATTTTACATGGGAATATATTATATACACAGCCAAATACGGTAATTAGTTCTTTGGGATGGGTTGTATTAATCTGAGCTGCTAAAACAATACTGTAGACTGGATAGTTTATGAACAACATAATTTTATTTCTCACAGTTATGGAAGTCCAAGGTAATGGTGCTGACATGGTCAGGTGAGAGCCTTCCTCAGAGTTGTAGCTCTTTGAATTCTCACATGAGACAAGGGGCTAGGGCTCTCTCTCTGGAGCCTTTTATAAGGCACTGATTGAATTCATGTGAGCTCCTCCACAGCGGTTGAGCAACTTGCAACGGCCCCACCTCCTAAGACCATCAGCTTTGGGAGTTAGGATTTCAATATACGAATTTTGTGAGGACACAAATCTTCAGACCTGAATGTTAATGGAAATTATGGGGGATAAGGGAAAGATGCCAGTGGTCAAACATGTTTGGCACATAATCCATTAAACAATAAGGTCAACAGTATTTCTGTGAAATTTCTCAGAACTTTTAATGTGTCATTGCTTTACATATTGAAGAGGAGGTTATAGGATATAGTTTTTGCGTTGGAAGTTTTGCAGATGTATTTGATTAAATTCTGTGTAACAGCTCAGGAAAATATATGATTTCATACTATTATTTTCTTCCATTCCTTTTTCTGGGTTTGTTCTTTTGTTTTCTGGCCTGGAATACCCTTCTGCTTATGCCTAACTTGGATGACATTTTCTCAGATAAGTCTTTACTTTTACCCTCATCTCTTCTCTCCTTTTTTGGATAATAACAGTTTTCTAGCCTCATTACTTGAATAACCATTTCTTTGAACATCTTATTTTGGGTCTCAGCCACTCTCGTGAGTGTTAGATAAAAAGATTAATAACACAGGTTTCTGCTCATGTGGAATTGGTAACATATTTGTGCTGTACATCATTTTTTTAAACAGTGCTGTTTTTAATTCTCACCACATACTGATTTTTATTATGCCTTGTTTGTTATATTAAAATATGCTTATGGTAAAGTTTAAACAAACTATGTAGGAGTTAGAAAGTCAAACAGTTCTCGTCATTCCTACTCAAAGGTAACAACAGTTAACAGTTATCTATCTTTCTAGAAATTTGTTATGCGTATATTTTTCAAATGTGATATTTTCTTAGCTTTCTTGACAGTTCATTTAGACTGTTACTTAAGGTCTAGATGATTATTCTGTTTATATTTGTTCTTATTGCATAGTAGAATGCCTTGTATGTGTGCAGTAATTCAATAAATGTTTGTTGGCTTTTTCAAATAGGGAGGTATTGATTCTTCGAATCCTACTCTCCCTCGGTTTTGTTAACCAGGTTTTAATATTGAATATGTAGTAACAATTTTTAGAGTATTTCTTTGTAACCAAAATGTAAATGATCAGATTCATTCATGATCTTGAGCAATCTGGGCTTGTGAAAACTGCCTATGACCTCAGTAGTCATTTTTTGTTTCTGTACTCTAAAGACCTCAGCAACTTAAGAATTTAGCATCTCCTAGTTCTGGGGCCATTTGAGCATTTTCCTCATATGCACTCTGATCACTTTCCCCTTTCTCCCTCTAGTCTCTCTCTCTTTCCTCCCACCTATACTGTTTCTGAGATAGGATTACACAGGTAGCTACCTATATGGTTGTTTGAAGAGTCTGGTGAACCATCTAAACCATTTTTAAGAATACAAGTGTATTCCATTTGCAGTAAACTTTAGTATTCCGAATACCAACTTACAAAGCATTTGCCTCTGTAATCATTTGTTATAATCACATTGCTATTAGTTTTGCCTTTTATCATGGGAATTTTATAACTAAAGATTTTTCTCCAAGATTAAGAAAGAATCCAATTCATATTCTTTTCTTTTCTTCTTCCCTTCCTTCAAATTTAGCTGTTGACAGTGTCTTGAAGAGGATGACAATTATTGGTGTAATTTTATCCTTCCGCTCATTGGCACAAGAAGCACTTAGAGATGTAAGAAACCATTATAAGTACATATCCTATATCCAAAAATTATCTTCTAATTTCCCAGAAATTAAAAGTTACTCTTTAAATTTATAATTGACAGTGATATAATTAAAATTCAGTTTGCAGTTATTTAAAGTATGTAGAAATTAAAGGTACTTAAATGTAGGGTTTTTTTAGGATTTTATTAATTTATTGGGTTGGCCAAAATGTTTGTTTAGTTTTTTTCCCATAAAATAAAAGACATTTTTCATTTTCACCGATAGCTTTATTGATTTGGATATTTTGAGTATGTAGGCTGTCTTCCACGTTGATATAATGTTGATTGTCTCAATTATTGTCTTGATCTGATTGCTATCAACTTCAACTGGTCTACCCGACTATGGAGCATTGCCCAGTGAGAAATCTCCAGCATGAAACTTCACAAACCACTTTTGATGTGTTCGATTGGTCACAGCACCTTCTCCATACACTGCATAAATCTTTTTTTGCATTTCAGTTGCATTTTTACCTTTCTTGAAATAATAAAACATAATATGTCAAAAATATTGCATATTTTCTTCTATCTTCAATATCAGAATAGCTACACAAAAATTCACCAATTTTGATTTTTTAATGCACACTGATATAGCTGTCATAATATAGTCTAACAAAATTGTTTTTAATGAAGGTAAAGACAACTAAGCGCTACTAGAGCCATCTTAAAAACAACCCCAAAATATTGGGTTGGCCAGTTGAAGTTTTTGGCCAACCCAGTATTTTTAGAGAGGGGGGAACGGGAGGGAAAAAGAGAAGGAGCAAACAAGGCATGCACCCTGACTGGAGAATCAAACTGGTGACCTTATGGTTTGTGGGAAGATGCCCAGCCCACTGAGTTATACCAGTCAGGACCTTAAATGTATTTTTTTGTTTTGGTATTGAAATTCAGGAGCTATAACTTGCCTCACTATTGAGCTACTTTTTCAGCTTTACTCTCCATTAAAGCATTTACCCTTTGGCTATACTTGGTTTGGTATTGGGTATATACATTTCATTTCTGTGTATTTTTTAGTACTTTAGAAAATTATATAACAAAAGATAAAGGAAAATAATTTTTATGAAAAGTACTCGAATGGTAATATTTCATAAATTTAGAAGTTGCCATTTAAAAATAATGCTATGTTTTTATTTGTTGTCCTGCCTAGGTCTTGTCCTACCACATTCCTTTTCTTGTAAGTTCGATTGAAGATTTCAAGGATCACATTCCAAGGGAAACTGATATGAAGGTAATAAAAGTTTTATTTGGATTTTATAGTTTCTAAAATGAAAATTTTGTTACAAGTGAAATAAAATTTAATAAATCCTGAACTACTGTAAAGTTTGTATTTTAGTCTGATTAGTTAGCATGACTGTCTGAAAATGCATCTTTGAGAGAGCTCAGCACTAAAATACTATGCAGGCATTTTGAAAGTTAGTCTTCCTTGCTCACCTGTAACAGTGTAAAATGTGGTAGATACTGATTTTTTTTTTCCTTAAAATAGATATCTGTTTATATGTGGTCATAAGCACAGTGAGGAAGATAAGAGAGTAAAATAAGAGTTGTTTTAAATAGAGATAAATTCAGTCAATTTTTTAAATTGGTGTCACAAAATCTTATAAATGAATGTTAATTGTAAGCTATAAATTTTAAGTTTTTAATATCCTGATTTTTAATTAATAATAAGACAGAAGGTTCATAGCCATGAGTCCACAATTTTTTCTTGAAAAATTTATTGATCATGAAGTCCAGCCACTGATACCTGCAATGATTTACCAGTGGTGACACATCTAGTAAATGACATATCAGCTCATATCTATGCTTTTTAAGCTATTATGTTTCTTGAATAGTTATTTTCAGATTTGCATATTTTGAAAAGCACTGACAGAAGAAAAGTAATGTCTAAACTCTTATATGACACTCAAGTCTCTTCTTGAATTTAAGGCTTATCTATCACAGTTCTATCCTCCCTCTCTGTTCCCTTTCTTAATTCTATCCCTCTTTTTTTCATATGCATCCTATGAGATAACCAGATTTTTGTGCATTTTCACATCTTTGTCCTCTAATTTCATTCTACCGGAAAAACCTTGCTGTTTTCTCTTGTTGCCTTTTGAAATTCTGCTGCTTCTTTAAGGCCTGATGATTCAATTGTCATCTTCTAAGAAACCCAAACATTCCTTGATCCCCAAGTGATCATAAAGATATTTTTCTGAGTGTTATCAAAGAACTCATGTTTATCCATTGTAGAATTAAATACATTCTGTCCTGTGTTATAGTTGTGTTTTTCCTTTTAAATTTATACTTGATTGTAAATATCACAAAGGCTAAAACCTTGCTTTCTTTATTTTTCCCACAGTGCTTTGCACAGAATAAATATTGGAGATCAATAATTGTCTTAGTATTTTATGATTGGAAACTGTAGTAATAGTGTTAAATATTTTTTAAGTGGAAACACTATAGAAAGAAGTGAAGAAAACATTGAAGATGAATTTATTCTTGAGAATACACTGGTGTGCAGATCATGAGAATACTAATATTCTGAGCAACCATCCAGTTCCCTTAGGACTTGATGTAATTGTATTTAAATTCCAGCAAACTTTAAAAAAAAAATTACTATTTTTTAAAAAACCAAGCATATGTTTGTTAATAGTTTTTATTGAGATAAAAATTCACGTATAATAAAGTCTACTCATTTCAAATATACAATTCAATGGATCTTAGTATAGTCACAGAGTTGTGCAACTATTACCAATTTTAGAACATTTTCATCACCCTAAAAAGAAACCTAGCACTCACTAGCAGTCATTTTCCATTTCTTCCCATTCCCTAGCCCCAAGCAACCACTAATTTACTTTCTATCGGTTTGCCTATTCTTGACAGTTCATATAAATCACATAATATATAGTCTTCCGGTACTGGCTTCTTTCACTTTGCTTAATGCTTTCAAGGTTTATTCATTTAGCATGTATCAGTACATCATTTTTTTATTGCCAAGTAATAACTCCATTATCTGGCTATGTACCACATTGTATTTATCCATTTATTAATTGATGGGTATTTGTACTGTTTCACTTATGGGCCATTTTAAATAATGCTCCTAAGAATATTCATGTATAAGTGTGTGATACAGGCTTTCATTTCTCCTGGGTATATTCCAGGATTGGAATAGTTGGGTCATATGGAAACTGTGTGTAACCTTTTGAAAAACTACCAAATTGGTTTTAAACCGGCTGTAGCATTTTACTTTCCCACCAGCAGTGTATGGTGGTTTCAGTTTCTCTATATCCTCGTCAATACTTACCTCTCCTTAATTATAGCCATTCTGGTGTGTGTGAAATGCTATGTGTGTGAAATCTCATTGTTTTGATTTGCATTTTCCTGGTGGCAGTTATGTTGAACATCTTTTCATGTGCTATTGGCTATTTATATATCTTCTTTGGGGACATGTCTGTTCAAGTCCTTTTGTTGATTTTTCAAATTGGTTATTTGTCTTTTTACTTTTGAGATGTAAGAGTTCTGTATATATTTTGGACACAAGTCCATTAATGATTTGCAAACCTTTTCTGTTGGGGTTTTTTTTTTCCATCATAGTGTTTTCTGAAGCACAAAAGTTTTTAATTTTGATGAAGCACAGCTTATTTTTTTATTACTGCTTCTACTGAAGAAATCATTGCCTAATCCAAAGTCTTAAAGACTTATGCCTATATTTTGTTCTAAGAATTTTATAGTTTTAGCACCTAACGTTTAGGTCTATGATCCATTTCTAGTTAATTTTTGTGGGTAGAGTGAATAATGGGTCACAAACCAATGTTTGTATAGAACCTAATCCGTGACAATTTCCATTTAAGATATGCAGTTTTACGTCATACATATATATGTATATATATGTAAATATGTATACATATACATATGTGTATATGAAGTAAATGTATACACATATGTATGTATGAAGTAAATGTATATGTATATATTTATTTATTGGTTTTAATATCAGAGGTAACCAATTATGTAGGTAGTTTTAAACTGAGGGGTAAAGCAATCAGAATATCTTAAATGCTTGAAATCCATATGTGGTATCAAAAAATTTACTTTAGTCATTAGAAATTCCTTGATCAGATTTTAAATCAGTGCTCCCTAAAATTGTCATAAATAATTTACCACATTTAGAGATATGATATGATTAGGCCACTATAATTTTTCACTCAACAAGTATGGACATAAACATAGTCCAGTATTTCTGATTTATTTTTGTTCATTTATTCATATTTTATTGCTTGATATTTTACATTCATGCTACTAAGAAAAGTAACAACTTAATGATTCTGTTAAAATTTGTCACAGAAAGTATACAAGTTTTGATTGGCTAATGTAGAAAGTTATAACCAGCAGCATATCACAAAGTACTAAATCATCTGCTCATTGTAGCTTAGTTGTGCTGTAGGTCCTACCTCAGGAAAGTTTTCAGAATTCTCTAGTGTTCTAGTAGGCAGACTCTAATTTAAACAGTATATCTTTTCTGACTAAAGTGAGATTCCTCAGAAATTTGTTAGAATATTTCTTAGTCTGTAATTCTCATATTTTTTTCTCAGGTTGCAATGAATGTGTATGAGTTATCATCAGCTGCTGGATTACCTTGCGAGATTGACCCTGCCCTGGTCGTAGCTCTCTCTTCACAAAAGTCAGGTAATATATATTTTTAAGAGTTCAGAGAAAAAAGGAGGAACTACCAAAAAAGAAACTGAGAAGGAAGAACCAGTGACGGATACGAAAAACCAGGAAAGAGTAGTTTCCAGGAAAGCAGAAAGGGAATGATCAGCTATGTATAATTAATGAGTGATGCTGATAGGAGTAGTGTCAGTGGAGTTTCCAGGGCAAAATGCTGATTAGAAGGGGCTTAAGAAAGAATAGGAGAAAGGGATTTAGGATAAGTATAAACTTTCTCAAAGAATTTCACTATAAAAGAGAGCAAAGACGCAAAATTAGAATAGGTGGAGGCAGGAGTAAAATCAATAGAAAGATTTTTTGAGGTGGGAAAATAAATATTTATGCCTATATTTATTTGTATGCAATGGAGAGGGTCTAGATGATACCTAGGAAAGGATATCCTTTTTTAATTGGACTAAAGCTACTAACCATAAAGAGTCTGTGCATTATTAACATAATTCTAAACTAAAGATTCTAAGACCAGCCCTTTGAAATGTAGTATCCAGAATGCTCTAGGCATTTCTAGGTTTGTATACAAAGTAAATGACATTTCATCTGTTTCTGGTGTTAAAATGCCCTCACCTAGCCCTTTGCATCAGTTCTTTCTGGATTTAACATTGCTTTTTGTTTTGCCATTCATGCACTGTGTTAATTATAGTCACATGGATATTACCGCTGTTACTTCATTTGCTACAGCTATATTTTTTATAATCAGCCAAATTTTAAAAAACATTCTGGCTCTCTTTTTTATGTTTAATTATTAGTAATATGTGGCGGTAACTAGAAATTGCCAGGTACTAGGTGAGCCACAACTTTAGTTAACATTACAATAAATACTTTAGAAAGGGTTATATCTTAAAAAGCTTTAGGGCAATGCTAGTTTATTTTCATGTATAACAGGTTCCTTCTTGTCTTCTAAAATAGAGAGGTTGGAAATCTAGTCCACTTTCTTTTTTTTTTCCCCCAAGATTTTTATTTATTTTTAGAGATAGGGGAAGGGAAGGAGAAAAACAGGGAGAGAAACATCTGATTGAGGACCTGCTCTGCAACCCAGGCCACATTGATTGAGGACCTGGCCTGCAACCAAGGCATGTGCCCTGACTAGGAATCATACCAGTGACCTTTCGCTTTGTGGGATGATGCTCAACCAAGTGAGCCACGCCAGTCAAGGATACATACAGTCTGCTTTCTACATTTATATCTTTTAAGTAGTAAATTTTAAAGTACATTCATAACTATTTTAGTCAAAAAACATTAAGGGTTTCATGAGATAATAAATTTTCTAAACTCTAGTAAATAGTCTTCTTGAAAAATAATTTTATCATCAGTTTTCATAGGGAAATTTAGGATTCCAATTATCCTAATTACACTTTTTGCCCTGTATTCTTACAATTTAAAAGAAAAAGAAAAAGCCCTGGCTGGGTGTCTCCATTGGTTGGAACATCATCCTATTCTCCAAAAGGTTGCAGGTTTGCTCAAACCAGCCAGCATGTATATGGGAGACAACCAAATGATGTCCCATTCCCCCCTCTCTAAAAATCAATAAAAATATATCCTCAGGTGACGATTAAGAAAAAAAAAAAGAGTTCCTTGAAATATGCCTGAGGAATTAATACTAGCCTATAATAATGTATATTATTTGTATTTATTCTGTTTTTCTTGTAACAAAATTGTGATCAGTTCTGTAGAGGCTGAGTAGAATACCTTACACAAAAATTAAAAATTGCCTTTTATGGTTTAGATGATCAATTCTTAACTAATCTTGAGGAAATACCAAAGAGGCTGAGTAAAATACCTTATACAAAAATTAAAAATTGCTTTTTGGAGGGTTACATTATCAACTCTTAACTAATCTTGAAGAAATACCTTGGTTTTATTTTTTGTTTTTCCCCGTAGAAAACATAAGTCCAGAAGAAGAATATAAAATTGCCTGCCTCCTCATGGTATTTGTGGCTGTTTCTTTGCCAACGCTAGCCAGTAATGTGATGTCTCAGTATAGCCCTGCTATAGAAGGTAAGTAGTGGTTTAAAATTATTTTGGCAATGGAAAGTTATGAGTTTTGATATGGTAGGTACTTTTTAAGTAATTAATGTTCTTTTATAATAAAATACGGGTTAAGTTTTGTCACTTGCTATCTGTGTAACCTTGAATAGTCAATTTTTCTTTTTCAAGGCCCCAATTTCTTGATAGAGGAAATGTCTCTATGTGAGCTTATGGGTGCTTGAATGTATGTGCATCAGGGGGTGAGTAGTAAAGGAGTGTCCAACTCTTAAGATTATTTTAAGGTTGGGATAAGAAAATGTTTGTAATGTAGCTAAGCATTTCTTAAGTGTCTGAGGCATTGTAAAACTTATGTGGGATTTCCTTTACGGGCCTTTGAAAATTTGCGTGTTTAATACGGACATAGTAATTTGTTGCTTTCTTGTTACGCTCTTTTTAAAATCAATGGCCCTTATGAAAGTGAAAGGAGAGTAAGGCAGGTTATGACCAACCCAGCTTTTAATCACACCACTATTTAGGTAGATTGTGAAGTCATTCAAGATCTGCCTTCTGTGTCTTACTTGATATTTGGGGGTCACACAGAATAAACCCTATTGACACTTCCTCAGGGCATTGCAACAACATACATTGCTTGGCCAAAGCCATCAACCAGATCGCTGCAGCTTTGTTTACAATTCACAAAGGAAGCATTGAAGACCGTCTTAAGGAATTTCTGGCGGTATGTATAAATCAATAGCAAAACTCCTGGCATTTTATAAATAAAATTTAAAATAACTTTGAGAAGTAACAGTAAATTCTCTTAATTAATTAATTAATTAATTAATTAATTTGGGGGAAGGAACAGGTAAGGCAGGGCATTAAAATCTAGGAATAGTTAGTTTAGCATTTTTTCCTCTTTGACTTTTTTTTATTTTTTGAGCTCTGCAGTGTGACCTTTTTCCAAAGCTGATGTTTATAGTGCCCTAGAATTTTGTCTAGGGTTTAAAAGAGGAAAAAACAAAACAAAGGAAAATTGAGGCAAAGAGATGATGTTCCCTCTGAAAGGATATATTTTACTTATTTTCATTTATTTGGAAAAATACTTAATGGTAACAAACTCAAAAATAAGAATACTGCTTACTCCCAAAAGAGGATAGTTGTGCTAAATCTAGCTTCATGAAGTATGGCTCTAGTTTCTATATCTGTGTAGCTCGTTCTTTCTTTTATTAATGTACCTTTTCCATATTTTACCTAAAGAAAAGATGCATCATGGTATAATGAATAGTACAATATTTGCTTCTTTTCAGGTTTTATCCTGTTAGCTTTTTAGACAAGTTTATTTTTTTAAAAAATTAAAGCAATTATAGTACTAACTTGAGAGAGTGACTTCTGTTTGAAAGAAAAGTGTTAACATTAAAATTTTTTTTCATTTCCTATATTTCCTTTATTCAAGACTTAGTATTCTAATCTCAGTGTTCCTATTAATTCAAACTCAGTGTGACATTTTCTTCTTTTTGGGAACTAAGAAGTATAGTTAATACAGGTATTAGGAAGATAAAAATAAGTCATTTTCTAAAAGCAAGACTTGTCCTGAAAACAAAATCAGTTTTAAATACCAATCAGAATATTTACATTTATTTTTGTTCTGTTTATACCTTAATAACTCTCTAAATTATTGCTTGAATGTAAAGAATCTGAGTTTATCTTATTTGTAGTTTGTTTACTATATAAGCAGCCATATGATTGAAATGTGTTGTAAGGTGAAGCATACTGAAAATAAATGAGTAACTGGTGAACGTTTCATTAAAAAAACTTATTTAAAACGTATGTGTGCTTTTAAGCTTGCATCCTCCAGTCTACTGAAAATTGGCCAGGAGACAGATAAAACAACAACAAGAAATAGAGAATCTGTTTATTTACTGCTAGATATGGTAAGTCTAATTTTTATTTTTATTAACAACAAAGAAGTTCCACTCATTCCTCATAGTCTTTTCTTGGCATTTTATTGATTAAATAACAATAAGAGATGAGGCATTTTTTTGATCCGTTGTGCTCAGTCCACACACTTTCTAAAATTGCTGAAGAGAACAACAGTCACCCATATTTTACATTATAGTAATTACATCAGAAAACAACAGCAACAAAAAGCTTAGTATTACCTATAAGATATAGTTTTTCAACCAGTTGTGAAACACTTGGGCCTTATATTTTCCTAGTGTATTGGTTTCAGCTCTTCCAGTTTTGTCTAGTCTGATTCCATTCCACCCATCTAATATAATTTTCTGTAATTCTCTATACTGTGTTCCTTTTCTTCACTTAATGAACCTTCTACCATACAGCTCTTTCCTCACTTAAAATAATTTCCTTTACTTGCAAAGGCCTATGTGTATCTCAATGAGCCAACAGACCCCGTATCTCAAATCTATTTCCAGGTAGACTTCCCTGATTACTCTGGCCTATATTAATCTTTCTTCCCTTTTGAACTCCTCTAGAACTTAGAGCTTTTCACCACTTAATTATAGTTGGTCTTATGTCTAATTTGGCTTTTTAGCTTAGTCTTGGGCCCCCAGTCAGACTTGTATGGCCCAGATGTTAAATGTTTATATTTTATGTCTATATATTGTTGAAGGCAATGAAAGTACTCAGTTTTGTTCCTGTTGATTAACTGATTTATGAGTCATATACTGGCATATTTACCTTTCATATTTTAAAGTAAAAGGAAAATAATATGTCTTTTTAATAAGAATAACAGCAAATTATGGTTTATTAGTAAATGTTCTTACAATACATAATTTATTCTGATGCATTTTGGAATTTTCCAGATTGTGCAGGAATCCCCATTTCTAACAATGGATCTTTTGGAATCTTGTTTTCCTTATGTCTTGCTGAGAAATGCATACCATGCTGTCTACAAGCAAAGTGTTACATCTTCTGCATAAAATATCTACTTACTGAAGAAAAGCACGCATTTTTGTTGCCTCGGTTTTACCTGTAAACTGTGGAGCTATTTTACCTTAAGGCCTGAAAAACAGTTTTGTGGATTACAAATTTCTTTCATATGGCTGTATTTTCTGATCATTGGTTTCTTAATATCGTACTACAGTATACTTGGTTGATTTAGGTTGCACATTCACTGAATTCACAAAAATTATTCCTATAATTTTTAGAGTATTTGTTTGAAAAATATACATTATCTATGTTTTTGATATTTGATAATGAGAAAAACCTTCGCTTGTTTATTTCTGAAAACAGAACTGTATTTAGTGATTATTTTAGATAGTGACATAGCATTCATCTGTGTGTAAATTATTTCATATAGGAAAGAGTTCTGATCTGTACCTATGGTTCTTATTGAAAACAAAACTGGATGCGCATTTCTGTGATGTTATGAATACATTCCTACTTTATTTTGGAACATTTGCCAAATGAAATACTGTAACACTGTATAACATTAAAAATGTTAAAGGACTGCTTAACATTAGAAGCAGACTATGTCCCGAAATTCTGAAGCAACAACATATGTTGTTGCTTGTATAAAGCCTAGTGATAATTAATTTTTAGACTAACTTCCATGGTGCCCTATTGGCATTAGCACTACCATTGTACCCTGCTGTATAATAAACAATCTTAGACATTTATCAACTGTTGATACAAATGTTAGTCCCTAACCACTTTTTATATGTTTTCAATTTTTGAAATTCAAGTGTACCTGCCATAACATAAAATAAACACTAGACTGTATCACATTTTGAATCATTTCTTTAATTTGGGATCCTCAGAGATTTAATTTAATATGAAAGTTTCAAAGGGGGAAAAATGTGGACAACTGTAATAGCATAAACAATAAAAATAATAATATGACAGTTTTAGATTAAAATAGGCTTTAGTTTAGAAATATCTTAGAGGAAGCATTCGATACTTCCTCTACTATTACAAGGTTTGTTTAAATATTTTGAAAGACATTTCACTGGAAAAATATTAAAATTTGAAAATAAAATTACACATTTAAAAAAATTAAGAACTCAAAGGAAACTTGTGTGACATCAGCTTGCTAGTTGTATCTGTGACCAGATGGACAGAGTTACTTGAAAGAATGGGGGAAAAAAAGGAATGATCATGGAAGTAGTGAAAACGTTGCTGAGATTTTCTTCAGTAATGAATTGGAAGGATGTGAAGGGACCTCCGGTGGTTGACATGGAGGACAGATCAGCTCACTTTGTTTAAAAACTAACCAAGTGTGTGCTCTTTGGCATTGTAAAGACTTTCTCAACAGCTTTGTATCTGGTATATTGGAGCTCCTTTTGTTTACAGCTTCTTACGTATACACTGGTAGCTTGTGTTAAGATAAAGCTACTGTGAACTCAGTAATAATCTTTTTCTTTGTTCAGATACAGAGAGTAAAATGAAATTGAGATGCTACAAGATTATAATGCATTTATTTTGTATGTGACTTATCCAGTCTATATTTAAAGCAGGGAATAGTTTAAAATTTCTCAATGGTTCTGTGAGGATTTTTCAAAAGGGAAGGAATTTTTAAATGGAATAGTTTTAGACTTCATATCACCTAATTTCACAGTGAACAGTTGTAACGAAAATGCTGTTAGTTTTGAAATATTAGGATCCTACAATGGTAATTTGTCAATAATGATATCCTGACAGGTAAATTAGGTATTTGAGTATGTGCACTTTAAGTGGGGTAATATGTGGAAAGTTATAAGGATGTACATAAAATATTATTTACTGCTGTTCAAGCCAAGAAAAGATCCCTCTTTCATAGTCACATGAAGTGGTCTAGTCCCAATTTTTTTTCTCGAACACCCTGACTGACTGACTGTTGTATTATTTATTCTTTACAGAGTCATTCTAAACTCCCCGCTCCCACAAAAGGCAACAGTAACTTGGAAAATTAAATTGACAATACTATATTTAATATCTTGTTTTAACTTTTCTTATTCTAAACTTACACTAGAACATACTGTTTTTGTTGTTTTTCTCTACCATAATATGATCACAGTTTGTAGTTTGACTGTAATCTGTTTCACTCAGTAGTAAAAAAAAGGTCTTTGATGTTTTTTTAATGCCTCCATGTAAACCATAGCTAATTTAAGAATTTCATTTGGATGAACATAAAGGCCATTTCTTGTTTTTCATTATTACAAGTATCTTGTATCTATATCTTGATGAATGTGACCTATTAGCATAATTTCTCAAAAGTTAAGATTGCTAAATGGAAGGGTGTGCACACTTTAAATTTTGATACATATTATTAGAGTTCTCTCCAATAATATTATATATTTTATCAATCTTACCTCTGCAGTTGCGTGTATTAGTTCCTCCACTGTTGCCAGTGCATCTTTGTCTCTTCAAAAACTAAAACATAAATCTTGTTTTAATTTGCATATCTCTGCTTATTAGTGAGGTGGAATATTCTTTTACAGGTTTGTAGGTTTATTTTTATGTTTATAAATAATTACATAAATGTATATGTTATAGGTTTTTTGGGTTTTATTTCTTTAATGAAATTACTCATTTCATTCTTTTATTTTCAACGAGTGTTTTAAAGACTTTCTTTTAAAATACTAATCAAATACTTAATTTGCATATATAAAATGTTTTAATACATGTAGTTAGGACTGAAAACAACCCCATACAATTTTTAATAGTGATAAGACTTTTAAACAATGTAATTACTGTTACAACTAGTTTGATAACTAATTTTAATGGACTTTTAGAGGGGTAGGACATTATTTCCAAATCCAAGTTAAGCACAGCATTGATATAAAAAGGATACATAATTGTTAAAGAATAAAGAGATACTCAAATATGTGAACCTCAGAGATTGAAATTACACCAAGATTCTAATTCCTTTTTTCTAAAATTGTCTATTTAATAGATATATTATCAATGATAAAGCTAATTCAGAAAGATGCTGTTTGTGTGTTTAGATAACTGTTGTAAGAGACTATACCAATTTTAACCTCATTTCTCAAAGATGTTATTTTGAAAACTTGGCATTCTCTGATAAAAACAACTACCAAAGTCATAAGGCAAAAAAGTTTTAAGACTCCTTACATTTCATATTAATAGTCTGGTATACATAGTTTTCAAAAGAGAAAGAAAAGAGACTGAAAAGAAATCAGCATTTTTCTTCTAAATTGATTAAATTAATATTGATTTTTGTCTTTCAGTTAAATTATATCCTCTAAAGTTAATTGGTAAAAGGTCTTTATATTTTAAAGTGCTCGCTAACATTGTTACTATCATTCATTCCACCCTAGCCTTCATTTTATGGAAAGTTTTCTTATTTTATTTATAAAATACTTTGGAACAGGAAACTTGTGTGACATCAGCTTGCTAATTGTACTTGTGACCAGATGGACTTGAAAGAATGGGGAGGGGGGAGGAATGATCATGGAACTAGTGAAAATGTTGCTGAGATGTACTTTAGTAATGAAGGGGAAAGATGCGAAGGGACCGTCCGTTGGTGGTTGACATGGAGGGCAGAGCAGCTCACTTTGTTTAAAAACTAACCAGGTGTTTGCTCTTTGGCATTGTAAAGACTCTCAACAGCTTTGTATCTGGTATATTGAGCTCCTGTTTTTCACCATTTCTTATGTATACACTGGTAGCTTGTGTTCAAATAAAACTGCTGTGAAATCAGTAATAACCTAGGTAAAATGGCCTTTTTGTTATTAAATATACAGAGGAAGTAGAAATCTGTATTGTATACTATTTTAAATGTCATTAAGATAGTTCCTTGAGAGGAAATTGCTGCCCCGCCAGTCATTCATTCATTTTACCTTTATTTACTATAATCCTTACTTCATAGATTGAGCTATTGCAGGATCTGTGGTCATAGAGTGTTCTCTATTCAGTCAATTTGAGAGCATATGTCTGTGCTGTTATGAATGAAAAGAAGTGTGAAAACTTCAGGAGCCTAGAATGATGACCTTTGTGCTGTTTAAGTTATATTTTAGTCAGCTGATTGTTGTGTTGCACAGATGCTGCCAACTCCTAACCTCCCAAAAATGGAAAATTTTCCAAAGTTCAGTGCCATAGGACGGGGGCCCTGGTATTTATTCAGAAAAAAAGACTGTGGGATCAGGCAAGAGAATGTTGAGTCCAGAAAAAAGTCAGAACCTGCCTTAATGGGTCGTGCTTGGCATAGCGCTGTGATGATAGTTGTGAGAATCTGATGAGGTTGAGCAATGGTAATTTGCACTTTTCTAATCATTTTCTACCACTTTTCTATTCAGTCTTCAGCAAATACTTGATAAGGCCTGGATCTAATGGTAAGCAAATTAGAAAACTCCCCCATTTACAGTCGTGTTTGCAAAGCATGTGTGAGAAATAGGAGTGTATCAGTGTTTCAGTCACAAGGAGCATGAAGAGCCTCATTCAATCTGTCATGTAGAATAGGTAGCTCTTTTCTCTTTCTGGTCTGCTTTCTTCCTTTGTTCCTTGCTTAGAAATTCAAGTTCACAAATCCAGTCTGAGGTTGGTCAATTATAAAGAGGGAAATGAATGAATTTACTGATACGTTGTGGCATTATTCTGAGAATGGGTAAAGTGTATCATATATCATCAAGCCTTCTAAACCAAGCTCAAGTTCTGTAAGGCAGTGAACTGTAATCTAGTTAATTTACATATAACCATGCCCACCCTTCTATTATAATGACATGAATTGGAAGATTTTAGCTGTGTCATTTGTAGAGATTCTTGTGAATGGATAATCCTTAATGTAGCTTCTTATATCTGTCCTTCATCTCTATAGCCACTTGAGCATGCACCATCATTTCATTTGTTGGTCTTGACATGAATTTCCAAATAAATACTATGCCCTCAAAATTCTAAAGATTGCATCACATCTGTCCTTAGGAAAAAAAATTTCTTTGAAATTGAAATTTTTAATATTCTTAGTAAAAAACGCTTTTTTGAGTTATTTGGTCCTGTTGAATTGATAGGAAAATTATTGACTCTACTTTGGTGTTATTTTCAGAGTTGATTTAAGTATATTAAATTTTCATTCTTGTATGAACCAAACTTTCCATACACGTTGCTGTCATTAACACTTGAAACCAAACATGCCTAATTCTGGCATATTTCATTTCCGAGAAAATTTTTCAGCCTGCAATCTGACCAGAAAATAAAATAGGATAAATTAGCAATCTAAAGTCAGGAACCTAGCCATAGAGGGCCATTTCTCATTTCTGATTAAGTGCACTCCCTTTGACCCTTACCTGTACTATGGTGCAAGAGCATTCTGGTCACCTACATGAGGTCCACAAACCTGGGAACTGGATGACCTAGAGACGGGGCTGTACTGAACATGCAGCCTTGGTGACTGCCATGTCATTTCTTTTTCTAAACTGTAAAAAAAAGGTCAAGAGGTTGACAATGCAAACGTTAGTGCAGAACATTTCTCCTTTGTTCCTGAATCTACTGGCTCCTGTGTGCCAGTAAGTCTTCATCAGCACTTCTCAGGTTTTATGGTTCTTTTTAGATAAGTTGATTATATGATATATTGCTTGGAAACAAAAGTCCATCTGATGTTAAACTGACCACATCTTTCACATTTCCTACAGGGAGATCTACATATCTCAGATGGTTTCACAATTCAACAGTAAAGTTAGTGCCTTAAACCAAAGACGCCTCTATCACAAGTTATTGGATTAAACCTCTCATAATATATGCAATATATCTAGATTGAAAGGTTTAAAAACAAAAGAATTTAGAATTAATCTTTGGACTGATTTTTCATATTTGAAGAATGTAGTTATTTGCAGCATGCAAATGGAGAGAGTAGTTCAAAATGTATCAAGTCTTATTTGATAAATATACTTTCAAACTAATGGCTGCATCAAAGCAGAGTGAAAAATTACCACTTCTCAAAAGCAACCTACACTGACTCAGTAAAGTTTACTTTTTAGAAAAAAACTCTATTTCCATAGATTTCAGAATGATTTTAGAAATAGATTAAACATAAAATTGTTTTATAAAAACAGAAAAATTGTTTGGGACTGTACAAAACTTTTTAAACTACAACACTTTATAAATTCAAGATAGTTCCACACTGAAATAGACAATACTTCATTAGAAGTCTTGTCAAATTTAACTGGTTTGTCTTGACCATTGTTACACATTATTTCTTCCATATCTTAGCCTAAGTAGATCTGTGCTCTATCATAGGATTTTAGTCTATTTCAAGGATTTTACAAGATTTTTCATTCTAGAAATAATGTTAAAGCAAATGAATTTATAACTACAAATGTCTTGCTAAAAATAGAAACTAATGCAATATGACAATTCTACATTGGATAAATTTCAAACCAAATTCCTAAGAATGGCCTATTAATTTAAAATTTATATTTGACTATTATAATTTGGTACCTATAAAACAAAAAATAACTTTTATGGAAAAGTATTCATATAGAAGGAAGAACCTTTAAATCTAGTTGTTTGTAGTTGTCATGTAACAAGTATTTTCTAATTTTACCTATTCATAAACACTCATCACCTGAAAGAACAACAGCATATTTTTAAAACTAAAAAGTGAGAAGGTAGGGGTTTATTTCATGTAACAGTACTGTTATGATAAATAGTTCCATATACCACTTGGTATATGAAAAAGCCAAAATATCTCCAAATCATGTATTTTTGTTACTGGAGTGTTAACCATTAGAATGGTTAGAAAAAAATCTAATATTACTAACCACATTATACTCCTTTCCCTGTCATTCTTTGCTTTTAGTTTTTCCACATAACAGAACATACAATAAACAGAAATGTAGTATATGATGTGTTAAATACCTCCCAATTTTCCAAAAAAATAATTAAAAATTAAACAATAAACAAAAATGTATCTGCTATATTTGCAATCAACTACCCTTGTAGACGAGTGGGGAACTGGGAGGGGGTGGCAGTGGTGGGGTTGACGGGAGTGACAATAGGACCCGTTTTCTGTAGAACATACTGAGGCGCACACAGTTTCTCAGGCAAATTCATGGCTAGAGCAAAATTAAGAGCTCATAATTTTACATTTGTCCCAAAGCTGACTTCTCAGATACACACACCCAATTAAATATTTGAAAATAGGTCCCTAGTCACTGCTATCTTCATCGTCACCATTATCAGGTACATCATTTAAAGGAGACTAAAATGACTAAGTGTAAGAGTCCAATCCAGTGGGTTGGCATACGGCCATGTCCCCAGTAGAAAGCAGGTCATAGCAGAAGTCACACATCCTCACAGGCTTAGAGAACTGGCTTGAAAGCAATCTCTTTTCAAGATTATCCACCACGATCAAGTGGGATTCATCCCAGGGATGCAGGGATGGTTCAATATATGCAAATCAGTAAACGTGATACATCACATAAATAAAAGACAAGACAAAAACCACATGATCATCTCAATAGATGC